ACTGTCAAAGTAATTCAGTAATGCGCGAAGTAATTCAGAAGTTAGATGAGAGATATGTTTGAACATTCAAGTTTAACTTATAGGTTCAATAAATCAATTAAACTTTGCTATTTAAGCTGTCTTTTACATATTTTGTGAAAATTTATTTTTGTAATCACAACTAATATAAACTTGACTATAATATAGGCTAAGAATATGAAGTTAAGAGTTATAAGGTTTAAGATTCATGAGAAGAGTTAAAGCAAAGTAGTAGTAGTCAGTGTTTTGGTCTAAACTGAAACTTTTGGCTGGCTGAAACCTTCGAAACCTCCAAAACATAGTTTTGCCAGAAGTCCCAAATCTGAAACTTCCGAAACCTCTGAAACTGGGCAAAACCTCCAAAATGGGTAAAACCTCTAAAACAGGCAAAACTTCAAATACTTCTGAAACAAATAGCCAATAAAATATGAAAATTTTTGGATTATGTAAAAAACACATGCATAAATGAGTATAAAGTTACATCCAATACTAGGTAAAACTGGCCGAAACCTCCAAAATTGGGCAAAACTAGCTAAAACCTTCAAAATTGGGCAAAACTGCTGAAACCTTCAAAAATAGGTAAAATTGGCCAAAACCTTTGAAATAAATTGGCTGAAACTGGCCAAAACTTCTAAAATTGTTAAACTTTCTGAAATATTCCAAGTAGAATATCAAAGAATGTAAAATATGAGCAAGGTGAAAAGAAAAATAGAGGAAAAGGCCAAAATTTTCTGAAAGACAGAGAGTTTGGAAGGATGTTCAGAGGGTTTCAGAGGTTTTAGCCATAGAAGTTTCAGCCATTTCGGAGGTTCACCCATTTCAGAAGTTTTGGCCATTTTGGAGGTTTCAGATTTGGGTGAAACCGAAACTCCAGGACCAAAATGTTTCGGACTTTGGGGGAGGTTTAGGACGAAACACTGGTAGTAGTACTGTAATTGTATAACAATTATTTAATAAATTTAAAGATTTTTTGATATTGGAGTAGCACCAAAAGTTGTTTTTAATTATTTTTATATTAGCTATTAGTGTTCTAGAATAAGTTCAAATATTTATTTCTTGTACTTTTCATTTTTAGTTTGTTTTTAAATCTTTTTTTTTTCTTAAAATATTAGGATCATTTCTTTAATAAAATTTTGGTTTGCTGGAATTTTGCCTATAACAAGATTATAGTTTTAGATTTAAAGTTATCAAGATTTTATTATAAAAACTTCTGCTAAGAATAATTTTATTATCAATAGTTATTTTTATATATATCAGTTTTTTTCTTTGCAACAATTTACTATAATTAAAATTTAGAACTTCAATTAATTTAGATTGACTAATAGAATTTTTATTATTATGGGTTGATTTACAAAAATTAGCCAATCAAAATAAAAGCCCACGATGTTAAGGGAATTATAATGACACAGCATACATGTGACTTATCTTTGTTATCAGCACAGTAAATAATCGACATTAAAAATTAAAGTTTCTTTAAAACTTTGAACAAAGATATCTTGACACTAATGCTTTGAATTGGTGTTCTGCTCTATAAACATTATTTTATTTTATACAAATAACAATTTAACTTATGAAACAAAAATCTTATAGCACTACATATAGCAGTTTTATTATTATATAAATTTGGTAACTATTTGAATGCATTAGTTTTGCTAGCTTTTGTTAGTTTCACACCCTTATAAGATTTGCACATTTGTTAGTTCTATACCTTTTGTTAATTATTATTAACAATTATTTCACTAACAGCTTATTTCATCAATAAAATAATTCTGATCATTATTGTTAATATTAGGTTAGAATTAGAGTTAAGGCTAGTGTAATTTATAAAAAATAGAATAAACTGTTATAAAAATTATAGGTGAAATAAACTTATCAGTAAATTAATTGTTGGTGAAATGAACTTGTCTGTAAATTAACTTTTAGTGAAGTTAAATATAGGCAATGTCAGTTACATACTATTGTATATTATTTCTAATTATTCTTCTAATATTTTTGTATAATAAGTAATAATAAGCAAAGTATTATACCAGTACTATTACATGAAATATAAAAGGATAGTACTATTCAACTTTTTGGTTTGCAATATTTTTTTCTATTTTAGGATCATCTTAATCCAGATAGTAATTTATATGCATTATGTGATTTTTAATTTACAAATTTGTTAGTAATCAATTTAAAAATTACCTGGCTTTAAATAACCTCCTATTTTAGAAACATCATATATTGAAATTTTGATAATATGTAATTATAACTTATATTATGATCATATGGTGTGTGAGAGTATTTTATAATTATTGTATTGATATTACATTTATCATAATAATTTATAAATAGATTATTACTATATTTTTGTAATTGTAATGTATTATATCTAAATCAAGTATAAAGTAAAATGATTAAATAGTGCAAAGCAAAAACCTGATTTTTTAATATTACAAAGAGAATTTATAATCAATATATTTTATTTTTTTGAAAATTAATTTCAGGTTTTTATTTTGCAGTATTTATTTTAAAAATTAACAATTATTAAATAAAACTAATTCAACTACATGCTGTGTATCATCATTTTGTAACTACATTAAGTAATTATCAAAATAGTGAGTAATCTCTATAAATTTTTTGTAGTAACCATAATAATTCCAATACAATCTAACTTAGTATTAACTATATGAAATTATGATTATTTAAATTGTAATTGTCAGAATAGCAAATGAGTTTAATGACAGAATTTTTTACAATTATAATTTTAATTCAACTTAATCATATAGAAATTATAATAATTTGGTTGTAAACTAACTTAATTTTAACTACAACTATGGTTGTTAGAATATCAAGCAAGTTTTATAAGGATCTATTTAGCAGAAATCATGCCAATTTTAATATAAGACTAGCTTAACCTTAACCACTATGTGTTTCATATAAGAGAGTAAGTTTAGTGACAAGATACTAATATAATCTTAACTACATAATATAGTATATAGAATAGTAAGTGTGTTTAGTAATGGAATTTTTGTAACAATAATTTTAGTGCAACTGACTTAACTATAATTACATATGTAATTACTGGAATAAGAGCTTTGTGAAAAAATCAGCTTTAGTAAATATTCTACAATTAAAATATGAACTATTTAACAACTTTAATTACATAGAAATAAAAATAATTTCCTTTCAAGCTGTAAGCTCTATAGAATTTTTTATAGTAGAAATCACTATCCCTTAAACTGTATATTTTAGCATACAAATTTGTACACTAAATTTTTAAAAGAAAATTAAGCTCTAAAAAAAATTTTTTTTAATAAAACCTCTCTTCTAATTGGTTATGGCAACTTTTATAAACTCAAGTCACACAGCACACTCCACTGTCACAGTGTAAAACACTTCATATGGCCTAAACAACAAGTAAAACTTTATCTAATGGCCCATGAAGTTAGGCCTCTGCATGGGCCAGGTAGGGCCGGGTAGTACTAATACCCTAGCCCTATCTATTCTGTAAGAGCTCACCTTTCAAGCCCTTACTCTTGCCCTAGGGCTCAAAATATGATACTCTACCTGGCCCATAGAGCCCACAGGCACCCATGGGCTTAGATTCTAATATGCGCATTTATATTGCCATAAAACAAAATTTATTGATACTAATACTATATATCAATTACATATTACTACCAAAATTAATTAAAGCTGATATCGATATATTACAATCATTTTATGTTATATAAAGATCAATTTCGATCATAGCCGGTTTGCAAAATTATGATTGATTCCCGATTTCTTTAACACTACTTCCGGCGATGTATGTATATTATCTAATATTATACAGTATATTTCTAATAGCTAAAAATTATTATCCTAGAAATGCTTTGATACACAAAAAGTATCATGATTCTTTCAGTAATAAACAAATTAATTTTCTAGAATCATGTAATAATTCTTATAAGGTTTAATTTGATATGACTTTTAAATTTTATCGACTAAAAAGTGTATGAATTAGGGGTTGGACCTGGGTTATCCGGGTAATTTATTATAATCATATTTCTACCTGGGTCCAACCCCTAATTACAGTGCTTTAATTATAAAGAAAAGCGTAACACTCTAAAGAATTCATAATATGAATTCTTTAGAGTGTTATGCTTTTCTTTATAATTAAATCACTGTAATATTACATATTATTACCAAAATTAATTAAAGCTGATATCGATATATCACAATCATTTTATGTTATATAAAGATCGATTTTGATCATATGTGGTTTGCTTAATTCTCGATTTCTTTAATACTACTTCCGGCAATATATGTATATCACCTAATATTATACAGTATATTTCTAATAGTCAAAAATTATTATCTTGGAAATGCTTTGATACACAAAAAGTATCATGATTCTTTCGGTAATAAACAAATTAATTTTCTAGAATCATGTAATAATTCTTATAAGGTTGAATTTGATATGACTTTTAAATTTTATCGAGCTAAAAAGTGTATGAATTAGGGTTGGACCTGGGTTATCTGGGTAATTTATTATGATCATATTTCTACCCAGATCCAACCCCTAATTACAGTGCTTTAATTATAAAGAAAAGCATAACACTCTAAAGAATTCATAATATGAATTCTTTAGAGTGTTACACTTTTCTTTATAATTAAAGCACTGTAATATTACATACCATTACCAAAATTAATTAAAAGCTGATATCAATATATCACAATCATTTTATGTTATATAAAGATCGATTTTGATCATATGCGGTTTGCAAAATTATGATTGATTCCCGATTTCTTTAACACTTTTTTTTATAATTAAAGCACTTTAATATAAAATCAGTTAATTTATTATTTTTTTAATTTTACTAATAAAAATTTAATAAAATAAAAAAAAATATAAATAGCCCAATTTTTTATTTTAGTTAGCAAAGCGTTTCAATTTTATTGCTTTATTATATCATATGCACAAGTTGCTAAAATTACAAATTTCTATTTTTAACAACTTACAAGTCCCACCCAAATTTTGCTGCCATCTCTAACCAGTTTCGTTGACACATCAGCACAGTTACTGTTTCTGGATCTAAAGAAGTACAATAATCATCAATAACATGCTCAGCACAAATAAACATTTGCTCAGATGCTACACTTGTAGCTGGCACAGCAAGAAAATCACATGCCATTTTAGTTAAATTTGGAAACTGATCATTATTTTTCCACTATTCAAGAACATCAGTATTTCTACTAGCAACTTGCTCATCAAGGTATCGTCTAACTTCATAAAGAGTATCTGGTTGGCTGACTTGATTCTTTTTTATCATATATTCATAATAATCATCAATATGATTATTTTTAGCACAAGCAATGCTGCTTTCAATACTGGCTGAACATCGTTTGATGACTGATAGAGAATAATAATTATTAAGATATATGCTTTCAAAGCTAAATTATTAAAATAAATATGAGCTATTAACAAGTTAATAATAAAAATAAAAATTGGCAATAATTTACCTTGTTCGAATATCTCGCACTTTTCTTCAACACATCTTTTTAAAATGAAATCTGATTTGAACATTTCTGTTCGTGAAATTAGCTTACCTATGATTGAAAATTTTAACAAATATTGAAAAAATAATAGCTTACTACATATGATTGCATGTATTCTTGACCCCTGCTATAAATTACAGTTTATATCATTTTATTATTATAAAAAAGAAGGGTATGAATTAGACTATGTGCGAATATCCAAGATAGAAAAGAGGGTACTATTAATTGTTGGATAAAAATTCGACAACATTTTTAAAGTACCTATTAATATTAAATAAATATTTTAAAAATCATATAAAAAAAACTAATATAAAAAGCTAACTTTAGTTAATATACTTACATTCATAGAACAGTTCTAAAACGCCACAAATAGACTTTGCTTTCTCCCATTCTTCTTTACTAAGTACATCCGGGAAAGTTCTATCTTTATCTTTCAATCTAATAATTACAGCTTTTAACTCTATTGCTAATTGTAACATCAAGAACATGGAATTCCACCTGGTCTCACAATCCAAAGGTGGAATTTTAACTTTGACTGATTCATATTTACAAGCATTGACAAACATTTGATGCCACTTTGGTGATATATGTATAGCTTTGACACAACCATAAATCTATACAAATATATTAATTGAATTATTATATTAATACATATAAACACATTCTTTATATAAACATATAAATACCATTTTAATTCCTTCAGAAATTTTTTTTAATCCATCCTTTACAATTAGATTAAGAATATGCGCAAGACAATAGTTATGAAAAATTTTATTTTCAACATCAATTAAATCCTGTAAAATATGACGAATTAACTCACTAACTGCAACATCATTCGATGCTGCATTGTCAAGAGTGATAGTTTGCAACTAAAAATATATCAGTTACTATTAATTATTATATTTATTAACTATATACAATAATTTAACTAAAAATCAATACTAATTAATTACCTTGGTAGTTATAGAATAATCATCTGTAGCTGCTTTAATACAAGTTGCAATATTGCCTCCAGTGTGAGGATAAGGAATTACTTTAAATAATAGTAAAACTGAAATAAGTTTTCAGTCTTTATTAAAAAAATGAGTGGTAATCGCTATATAACCAAGTTGTTGAAGCAATGTCTATATATCGCAGGTAAGAGAGATCCTTCCTTCTGCGTTCTGAAGAATTGCTTTAATTATAGCTTTTTTTTTATCATAAGCCTTTATTATATCTTTTTTTATTGTATCTGCACTAATCATAAACCCAGATAATATTCTATTTACAAATTTACGAAAACTTTGCTTCTCAACAAACTAAAAATTTAGTTTGTCAAAAATTATCATATATGCAAGGTTTTCCCGATTTGAGTTTCCAATAGATAGTCAGTTAACCAATGAATTAAAACTTAGTTGGGTTTGGCCATGTGGACATGCAAAATCAGCCCCATTAGAAACAGAGCTTTGGTACCTTAAACAAGACTTAAGATGGCATCGAAGATGGGAAATTTCATTTCCTTTTTTGTGACTAAGTACCTTTTTACAGTATTTATATTTGGCTTTTGGTTCATTTTCTAACACTTCAAAACTTTTCTATACAGGAGATTTATTCCCTAAAGTTGCTTCACCAGTGCCAGTAGTTTCATTAGTTTGATTAGTGGTAGTAGTGCCATTAGTTTGATTAGCAGTAGTAGTGCCATTAGTTTGATTAGCGATAGTAGTGTCAGTAGTTTCGTTAGTTTCATTAGTGGTGGTAGAAGTTACTTCAATACTTGATAACTCTGAAATTAATACAGAGTTATTCAGATCATCTGACATTTCAATGTCATAGTCAATTTCATCTATAATGATTGATTGGTTAGTTGGTACTGTGGTACTGTTTAGGTTACGTATAGATAAGTTTGCTATTGTTAAAAAAGCAAAAAGTCAATATGATAATAAATAGTAGAGAAAAAAAAATCAACTTAATTAACTTAATTAACTTATAATAAAGTCAAAAAACAAGACACTTCACCAATTTATTTAGTTATTTTTTTTTAATAAAAAAAAAAATTTATTATTCGATATGTAAGTGCGAAAAAAAATCCAAATGTCAATATATATATAGTTAAAAAATTATATGAGGTAATCAATTTTAATTGGTGGATAAGTTATGCAATATATTAATGGGCTACCCTAGGGTACACGGGCCAGGTAGTAACAATACCTAGGCCCTACCCGTGTAATCTGGGGGTTTATATTTTTAGCTCTGCCCTACCCTAGGGCTTGTAATTTGTTGCCCAAGCCCAGCCCTTATAGTACTACCCTTAGAGTACCCATGAGTAGCCCTGGCCCATGTGAAGTATGCTTTGCGAACCAAATTTTGGGCCACCATATCTCTATAGCATTGTCTCAAAAATAAATCATATAAAGTAGATCATAAAGAATCTATGATTCACTTTAAAGTTGTATTATAAAAGAAACCTGTATGTGACGATTTGGAAGAATCTTAATAAGTGTCACGTGCAGGCTTCTTTTTTAGTAATAAATCTGGACATCAAAGTCATATTATGATCCTAGTACAAATTAATTAAATAACTAATTTTTGAAGCATTATGAAAGAAATTTTATGAGATAGGAATTACTTAGAATTTAGCATGTAGCATGCTTTTATTTTAGCTTAAAAAGTAGGGGGTAAGGCCTAATAAAATTTTAAGCAATAAGTATTTAAAAATTTTAGCATACAAATATATACGCTTTACAGTTTAAGAGATAATTCAAATACAAACCAACTTAACTTTAATCATATAGAAATCATAATAACTCTGGAAAAACTAGCACCATCTTAATTACATAGAAATCAAACTAATCTTGTGATATTGAAATAGTAAGTAAGTTTTGTAACAGAATTTTTTTACAGTAGAAATTATGATAATCCAAATAAATTCTGATTACAAACTAACTTAATCTTAGTTACATAAAATTATAATAATTCCAATACAATTAACTAAACCTCAATTATATAGAAATTATAACAAGTTTACTAAAATGATTTATAGTATTAAACATTATTGGTGCTATTTCTCAAAAATATACCAAATAATTAGAATTCAAGTTTTAAGCAAAAATGTTCAGAACAATAATTAAAATGCAAGCTAAACAATTTTGGTTATATGTTGTGATTATTGAAATAGCATATAAATTTGTAACAGGATTTTTAATAGTAGAAATTATGATAATTCTGATACATTTAATACAACATTATTATTTTTTTTAATTTAGTTTTAGTTGGATTAGTAGTTTTGTTTTTTTTTTTAGTGATCATACTACATGTCTATACTTTATTGATTATTAATTTAATCTGAAGAAAAAAGAATACATCCAAAGATACGGATATGTAACTCACCCGGTTATCTATATAGAATACCTAAATATTCATATATCTGTGTGCAACATGCCAAAGATGATTTTAATCTCCCTGGTTTGGTTCAACCTACATCAAGCTGACCCAACCGATCTAGTTCATTAGCCTGTCATGACCACTTTTTTTTCCAACCTTTTTCTCCTAACCTCCTAGATAGAAGAATTCTACCAAAAAACAATAGGAAATTTACAAAATAAAAGAAATAGTAAAAAAGGGTGAAAATCTAAAATAAACAAAAACAAAAAACAAAAAAAAAGAAAAAAAAGAGAAAAGGAAAAAAAGGCTGAAAAAAAGGACAGCCATGATGGCACTATTTTTGCCTGTGCGAGGCTATATAAATTATATAATGCTATATAGAATAAAATTTAACCTAACACTATATGTAATAATAGAAGTAGAAAAGAAAATAAAAGAAAATGTCTAATATTAAGAAATTTTTACATGTGATCTCTTTGATCCTCTATACTGTAAACAGTACTGCTATTATTGATTATTTGACAAAGCATAATCCAAATAAGCTCATGAGAGGTTCTATTTCGGTAGACATGTTCTAATTTGAAAGGAGTAAATACTGCTAATCTATTGAAGAGGGTACACCAGTTTTCCCACTTTATGGCCAAAAATTCAAAAAAAATCCAAAATAGTAAAATATAGTAGAAGGTCTTCGGTTGCAGGTACTTTTAAAACTTCTAAAGAGTGTGTTAAATTTAGAACTTTTGTTGTTTTCCCTGTGTTCTTTTTCGAAGTAATGGCCTAGAGCTTCGTCAACGAAGTAGCAGCCTACTATGTAACTTACTCCTTTCACCAAGATTTTTTATACAAAGGACCAGAGTGGCAAGCCCCTGCCAGTTATCTTGTATAATAACGCTCCTGGCTTGCATGCTAAATATTTTTTTAAAGGAGTTTCCAAAGGAAAAGGTTAACCTCTAGACAAACCACACCATAGAGCCACATTTTTTCAACAAAAGTTTTGTTTTCTGTTAGTTAAAATTTTAGTACGAGTGATCATTAGAGAGAGAGTTCGATCAAAATTATTAAGAAAGTAAATAGTTTTTTTTAATCTATGAATCTCATATATATTTTAAAGTTTATATGTTATACATAATCAAACTGGTCCTGCATGTTATACAGCTTTCCTTATCTACTTTGTTTGAATTACTTTATTAAAAATATAAAAATACAATTTGCTTTTACATATAATAATTAAACCAGGAGACGAAACCACCTGCATGACCATATTCTATTTATTTATAAAAAACAAATAATCAATAAATAACCTATAAAAAATCTTTTTACTATTTTCTTTATAATACTAAAGTAATAATTACTTACTAGCTCACCAAGCTAACCCTGGTAGTGAAACTGTCCACATGTGCAATTCTCACTAGTTAAATAAAGCTATATCAGGTTTACAAATATAAAGAAAAATCAGAAACAAATCAATTAATATCCAGTTTATAAGTTGATCGGGAAGTCATCAGAGTAATATTAACAAAGACTTATTAGAAAAACATTAAACACTAATCAGCATTTTTTATAATAGAGCTATCAGGATATTATTAAAGCAAAATCAGTAAAGTTATATAGGGGTAAAATCAGACATCAATCATCTTAACTTTTCTATTGGGAACCTATTAGTTCGAAATCAGATAATTATCAAAAATAAGTAGATATTAGTGCATAATCAGACTAAGATCAGTTTAATTTCAAAATCAATTTATAAGAAATTTGCTTAAGTAGACTGATCCAAATGTAGTTAGTACCTATTAAATTCAATTGCGAATGAAATTAAGTAAAGTGCAAGAGATTTATTACAAAACTTCATTTATTAAAATTCTATTCTATTTTTTAATTCTCCTTTTTAACATAAACCATTTGCAAGTATTTGAATAATGAATCTATATATTTTTTTTGTTCTCCAAATTCAATAATTGATTGTCATTGTTCTGGTTGACATCTCTAATATAATTGCTTCAAAGCCATAAATAATGATAACCTTTGACTAATAAACTTCTGGTTTATATATGGTATTAATCTATTAAAATATTAAATTTTTTTTTAATTAATCACATACTACTAAAGTATTAATCTTAAAAATATTACTACTAATAAACTTAGCATAAATAGTCTTGGATCTTCTGAAATCTCTGTTCTTGCAATATATTTAATAGTCCTTAATTCTATTTCTTTATAGAATTATTTGAGTCAGATATTGTGCAAAATGACAAATGATTCAATAATAAAATCATGTTTCATTCTCATGCCTAGTAGAAAAGATTTTTTGATTTAATTTCTTGGTTTAATATATTAATGTCAATATTATAATTTCACTTAGGACGGGAATATAAAAAAAAATACAGAATATAAAGGAAGTGAATTGTTGGGGTGTAATTACTATAATGATGATGTGTTTTCTTTTTTCTGGCCTTGTGATCAATATATAATACTGGCCACATTATTGAATGCTATTTAAAGTTCGCAAGCAGGATAAATTTTTATATTTTACAGAACCTAGACAAAAATAAAAATCATCTAAAAGATGAAAGTAAAATTCAGATGAAAATGTAACTCAACATTAGGCAAAATAAGAAAGGGCAATCAAAATACCTCATTTACACAATTATTATTTATAATGAATTACTTATAAGGATTTATTTGTAACATGAATAATTATTTCTAAATTTAGATAAAAATTTAGAAGCAAAATAAATTAATATCTAATGTGAATTAATATCGATAGAGAAGATATATTATAAAGTATACGTATTTGAATTTTTCCTCTTCTTTTCAGCAAGGCTGGCCGAAAAAAGTGATGTTTTTAAGTATAAATTTTTAGTATACAAAATAGTTGTTAAAGTTTGTAGATATTAAATAAAAAGTTATTGAAATTCTTCAAATCATCTAGATTTGATAATAATAGCTATTTGGGTGATAATTGCTGGTTAAACATAAATTGTCACAATTTAATAATTTCTAAAAATATCTGATCTTTTTAAATATTAAAATTTTGTCAAATTAAAAATTTAAGTTTTTCTTTGAAATAACCTTACATAACTATGTTAAATTCATAATTTCTCTTTGCCTTGTAAAATGGCTAGAAAATTAGAATTGTCTCAAAATTTTGTATAGCTTTATATGTTCATTCATTTTCAAGGCAAATAAATACTCTAAATAAAAAGGTTTAAGATTTGTTTAAATTACTAGTTTTTTTAATTTATTTATATATAAAAATCATGTGTGACCTTCAGTATTAGCTATTTTAAAAATCTTACCTCAGTTTAATTTTTAAATATCTTAACTGGGTGGGGTAAAGTGAACATTTTTAATTAAAGCCCCAACTCACTATTATTAATAAAATTTTAAACACTTTTTAAAATTTCAGATATCATAGTCACCAATATAGCTTTAAGAAATTGATAAGCAGTTTAAATTAAAGTATATGAAATTTCCGATTGATTGGTATTACAGACAAGTATTCTGTTTTTTTTACCAACTATAAAAGTACCTGAAACAAACCGATCTAGAATATTATATATCAGTATTATGCAATCCCTACTTAGATCATAAAACTTTTTGTTCCATAATTCAATATACATATATTATTAATTTGACAATAGAAACTGGTTTTACGATCAGCAGCTTGGTACACCTAATGAAAAATAATGCATATGTTTTTGGTCTACCTGAAAGTTGTATGGTATGTTCAAAATAGAATTGAACAAGTTCAGAATATGTATCAGTAGAATTATCTTCTAATATAAATTGAGCAAGAATTTTGGCTGATGTTTTATGTCTTTCCGAATATGTTGATCCAAACACTTCTTTATTAAGTCTTAATCGACCAAACTTAATAATTTGTGGTAAAACTAGTATTATGGTGACATACAGTATGCGATTAACATGTTGGAAAATAAGGGTAAAAGTGATCGATCAATTAGAGTTTTGTATACGTGACTCACATGATGATCGATCAGAATTATGGGTGGTTGGTAATACATTTGAGATACCGAAGTAAGATCATAGTTAATATCAAGAGAAAGATCTATTATGCATTAATAGGTAATACAAGATAGTTTATTAGTAAGTTATGCATGAACAATCGAATAAAGTATGTAATCAATTAAAGTGACAATGGTAGTATGATCAATATATGATGTAACGATTAGAGTCAAATATGTATATAAGGATCGAAGCGAAAGTAGTTTAGTTTAGTTTGAGTTAGTTTAGTTAGTATTAGGATCCCTCTTGATTAATAAAGCGAATTTGATTAATAAATAAAATACTTGCCTTAGTATAAACAGTTTGAATCGGTAATAGCTAAGCGATCCAGTGCTCCCCATTCGGGTTAGGTTATTCTGTAATAAAAGTCATAGATTAGCCCATGATACGAAAACCTGGGCAAATTATCAGTAATCTCGCAATGATTATATAGTCCACAGAATGAACTTACTATGCTGGTACGAGTATAAATGTGCAGAGAAAGAGGAGAATGTCAGTGATAGTGGAAATAAGGTATTTGATGGAAATCCGAAGACCGATGCACCAAATCATGGAATACATTTATTTGTCTATAGGATAATGTGGGCTGTGATAATTCTGCAGAGAAGGTAGAAAGTGTAGAGGCAGAAATGGTTAATGTAGTGAATATTGATCTATATGAAGAAGGCAAAACGGATATGAGTGAATCGAAAGTGGAGAACTTACCTAAAAGTACTAATGAGAAAAGGATCAAAAATGATGAAGTTAAAGATTTGAATCTTGCTGAAAATCTGTTGATAAAGAAAACATTAATGAATTATGTAGTATTGGACATTTTTATGATAAAAAGAATAAAATTAAAAGGGTCGAAAATAAGGCACTCATCTGTTATCAAAATACTGATAAGGATGAAAACAAAATAATTGCGGAAGACTTGGAGCATGTAGAAGGTGAAGAATTGTTTGGGGAACCTAAATTGGAAGATGAAAATAGATTAGTATTTGACTGGGAAAAATGATTGAAAGTAGCAATCCAGTATTCAAATTTATCAAAAATCAACAGAATTGAGTGATGCTAATAGAATTTTTAGTGAAGGCCATCATCATAATGGTGTCGATGTTGAAAAGGATAAGCACAATGCAATCATTCAGTGTCAAAAATCTGGAAATATGGGTAGTTTTGATAGAACGTATAATAATGACTATTGTTATCATTATGGAATTGAAGATAAAATGAATGAGCAAAAAGCTTTTGTTCATAGAATAAACGATGATAAAGACTGGTGTAAGGCAGTTGATTACTACCAAAATCCTGCCAATGTGAATTATGCTATTGGAACATGTATTAGAGATTGTCACCATTATGAAATCAGTGTAGAAAAAAATGAAAGCAAGGAACTTGCCAAGTGCCTGAATTCTGATGAAAATGATGATTTGAATAAACAGAATAATCTCAAATGGGATTTGAAATCGGCTGAAGAGTACAAGTTGAAAGGACAAAATAAGCCTGGAGTATGTTGTGATAAAAGTGTCAGTAGCCCTAAATATCGAAAAAATTTAGTTGAGTGGCACTTGGAACCTGCTGACTTCAGGAAAACTAGCTCAGGTGGTAGAGCTGAAGTTTGTAAATCGGTAGTAAAAAGAGCATGATGGATATAAGGAGTGCAGTGGATAAATTGGAGTGTATCAGAATAAAAGAAAATAAAATAAAAATGAAGAATGACGGTATTGATAGTGGAGTAACGGAGTATAAGAAGAAAGATCATAGGAATGGTAAAGGTAAAATGAGGATCAGTGAAATGATTAAAAATAATGAGAAAAGCTTGAAGAAAAGGAAAAAGTATAGAATGGGTGAACACATACCCGAAATTTGAATAAGAAGTATGTTTGAATGTGGAAGAATGTTATTACAGAAGTTGTGGAAATTATGCGAATTTGGGGATTAGTTTCGCAAATTATATTAGAAAATAGACCTTGCAGGTGCTGAAAACTTCAGGAACAAAGTTTCTGGGACTCTAGCTTGTGTCATAGTGACATACAGTATGCAATTAACATGTTGGAAAATAAGGGTAAAAGTGATCGATCGATCAGAGTCTTGTATACGTGACTCACGTGATGATCGATCAGAATTATGGGTGGTCGGTAATATGTTTGAAATACTGAAGTAAAATCATAGTTAATATCAAGAGAAAAATCAATTATGCATTAATAGATAATACGAGATAGTTTATTAGTAAGTTATGCATAAACAATTGAATAAAGTATGTAATCAATTAAAGAGACAATAGTCGTATGATTAATATATGATGTAATGATTAGAGTCAAATATGTATATAAGGATTGAAGCAAAAGTAGTTTAGTTTAGTTAGTCAGTTTAAATTAGTTTAGTTATTATTAGGATCCCTCTTGATTAATAAAGCAAATTTGATTAATAAATAAAATACTTGCCTTAGTATAAACAGTTTGAATCAGTAATAGCTAAGCGATCCAGTGCTTCTTATCCAGGTTAGGTTATTCTGTGACGAAAGTCATAGATTAGCCCATGACACTAGTATTGAATCTGGATATGCTACATGAAGTCCAGATAAAGCCACAAAATCATAATCATATGCATTCTTGTAATATTCTACTAATAACTCCAATAAGTCTTGTGGAAGATGAACCTTGTTTGTAGGCCCCAAGAATTCACCGGGAAAAGCTTCATATCCTATTCCAAAATTTTCTTCGATGTTTTGTGACATCGAAAGAAAATTTTGGTAATCTTCATTATATGCTGCAAGGCTACCAATAGCCTGTTTTAGTTTTATAAATTGCAAACATGTGGCTAAATATTGACTGTTTGCATGTGATAGTAATAATCTTTCATTAAGCTGGAAATTTGATTAAAGAATTTTAAACAATTCTGGTTCAATTCTCCTTTTGATATTATGAAATAAACCTACAATAAAATAATATAACAATTCAGTTAAATAATGAATTATAAAGAATACCTATATAGCATTCCATAATGAAATTTTTTTTTTTAAAAAAAAAAAATTATGTATGTATAAATGTTAAATGAGTGATATTAAAGTTAACTGCAAACATAACCAACATATTGAGTATACCTATAGACTTAAATGATAAACAAAAAGAATGCTAATGTCATTTACCTAATAAACCATTTATGCGTTCATAGCTAAAACACCAAAATGCATATAATGATCCATAATCCAAGACACATTCACTTATATATAAACATAAATGAAGATTTGGTATAATTTTTTCTAGCCTATAACAAGTTTCAATATGTTTTACCATATCTAAAAGGCAATTATAAACTTCATTAAGTTTATTCTTAGATATGATATGATATACCAGAATTGAGTATGCATAAACAAAGTTGGCAAGAATTTTTCTGTCAGATTCCCGCAACAGGTTTCAGATAATAGTTGTTGCATATATCAAAATAAACGTTTTCTATTGGTTAGCAGTGAATTTTGAAAACTTTTCTTCTGTAAGCTTGTTAGAGATTCTCCCAATATCTACTGGTACCTTTATTTTTTTTATTCTATTTGCCATCTTTGTCAAATAATGTGATGTAAGATGACCTTCTTCTATACATAACTTTATGATCCATTTAGCAATATCTATAAATAGGCAATGCATTAGATCTATAATTAGGAAGCAAGCAGAGTTAAAATATGAAAGCCAGTATATTTCTAACCATCGAACTAATGTAGTTGATACATGATATTTTCATTCATTATCAGTAATGCAGCTCTTCCATGCAACTGCATTTTGGTAAATAGTATTAACATCTCTTTCCACATACTATTCATTCATATTAGCAAATCCACCAAAATTAGGTTGATGCTTTTCACTAAAATTGGCTTTTTTTAGACACCTATGGCATGTGATCCTAGCTGATATGTGACTGCACAATTTTCTTGCAGCAGGTATATCACATAAGCAACATATTACTGCAACTCAAATAGATTTGCCAGTAGGGCTTTCATAAGTACTCTTTAATTCAACATCTAATAATTTATATTAATAAAATAAATAAAACAAAATAAACAAAATAATATAAATACATGAAATAACATCAATAGACATTATTTTGAATAATAACCCAAATTAAACTTAATTTGATAAAATAAATATATATATATTAAACTTGTTTACCATTCTACAAGTCAACTAATTGATCTATTAAAGGTGCTAGATAATGATTTAAATGGTGTAGTTTAGGTTCATGTAGTCCAGGTATTAATGCTAGTGTTAATATGTTTAATAGTTTAAACTGTTGATTGTATAGAAGATTACAAATTATGCCATAGACAGCACCAACACTATATTGGGAGTTGTAAAATAGTTGGAACTAATCTAAGTTCAGCATTAACCCCAAGTAACTATTTGATAACTCTTTTCTAAAGAAAGGTAAGTCTTCTTCTGGATCTTGGAATGTTTTCCAAATCCTTCCATCATAAATATCAGTTAGATCTTCAGAATTATTAGGCTGATTTGCCCACTTTCTACATTCTTTTTCAAAACCTTTTTGATTAAATAGTAACTGTAATTAATATTTTAAATCAATTAATGGATAAGTTGATAATGGTTTATAAATTAAACCACCTTTGACAGAGACTTTTTTGGACAAATCAGCATTACAAGGAACTCTTTTATTGTACATCGAATGATTAGGAAAGTTTTTAAATATGTATTTGATAATTGTTGGGTATTGGCCTGGTTTCTTAGTTGATATATTACTAACTGAATATAATTTGCAACATGATTCACATGTTGCAAACTTTATCATATAAGGGCAAATACCAACTATGCAGTGAGCTATATTTAAAGAACCTGGAAAGTTGATATAGATATTTTTATTAAGACTAATCATAATTAAAAAATATCTAATAAATTTAATTAATGAAATAATAGCTATATCAGATAGCCGGTATCTCTCCTGGAACTTTAGAATCCATAAAATAATCTATATAAAAGCTAGAAAGGCTTATATTTACAGGTACATCTAATTTATTATTATGAGACTTATTGTTAGGTGTATTGAAACTTATAAATTCATTAGTCAAATCATCATCGGTGCTATTTTCACTTGAGTTATCATTATAAATATCTTTCCAATTATCTTTATTATTCCAATTATTTTCATTATCATTATCTGAAAATAATTGGTCAATTAATTCAGTTGAAATATGCCCACTACTAGCTTTTTGAGTTGCTTTGCCTTTGGGATTTTTTGCTGGCAGAAAATTAATACAAATTTCTTGATCTATTTTGTTATCGAGTTCATTATTAGATTCAGAATCAGATATGTCTAATTGTATAAGGTCAAAAGAAAGACCTGTCAGGATTCTTTCTTGGACAATTTAATTAGCATTGTTTCATATTAAGGTTTTTTGTTTATCCATATGAGCTTTTCTGGTTCGTAGATCCCTCAAAGCACCTTTATAACTATCACATGTACAACTTATGAGATGCCTTTTCAAGGTCTTATTGATATTATGTTTATTGGCATTACATTTATTGGCATTAGAAGTGCTGGTAGATTTTTAATAGCAACTTTTCTAGATTTATATGTCATGTTTTACAATATTAAAAAATATAGTAATAAAATATGAGTTTCTAAATGATGTAAACAATATATAAAAATTGAAAATTTTTTTAACAGGTTTATTTGCTTTTGGTTGTTTTGATACAGTATATCAATGAGAATATATATATTATGTTATATCTATATATCTATTATTGTAAATATTAAAAGAAAAATGTCTATAGACCTATTGGCAAATGAAAAGAATACATCAAATAAACTTTAAATTAAATCATAGCTTATTATGTCTAATTTTATTTGTTCAATTAAAAAAAGTATTATATTAGATAAAATATCAGGTATTTATTACTTCAGATTTGTGGATTTAATATTGATGATGATTAAAGTGAATTTTTGTAATTTATACAATAACAATCAAAAAAGCTATACTGTACAGTGTTGTATACAGTACTACAGTCTTTTTCAAAATGTCAAAATAAATTAAATATACTCAAGAATCTGTGTAAGAGATACTATTCAAGGGATATACTAAAAAAAGAACTATTCAAAAAATTTTTGTATAAATTACATGATTTGTTTTTAAAAATGTTTCAATAATAATATATAATGTTATTTATTCAATTAACTTATTATATTCATGTATATTTAAGAAATTTTTGATTTTAAAACTGAATTATTGAATGCCATTAAGGAACATTGTTTGGGCTACTAAATTAGTCTATGAATAAAAGTGATGGGTCAAATAATACAATAATAAATTACAATTAATACTCAATTAACCACTTTTTTCACTCTGCCATAATGCTATCCTTTATTTAATACAAACCAGAAATTAAGATTCGTTATAATCCAACTATAAATAGGCCTCATGTTCTAAAGCTTTATCAAATACTTTCTTTCCTGCATCAAGAAAAAAAAATCTTTTATTAAATTAATTTATAATATTTTTTCTGTCACAATTAATATATTTGACTTTTCTCATATATCATTTACTCATTATAAATTAAAATATGATGTAAGGAAAAACAAATACTTTTCAATATTTCTTTTTTTTCTTTTATTTTGAAATAAAATTTGCTAAATGGCTTTTCTTCCAAAAAAATTATAATGTATGGATTTTCTCATTATTGTTACATCTCAAAAAGACATTCTGTTTTACCAGCTCACTGCTCCAGAAGATGTTCTATTTCACCAGCTTATTGTTCATCACAACATAGAAGTCACTCTAGAAAGTAATATAGACACCATTCATGAAGTAGGAGTTCTCATCGTAAAAGATCAAGAAGTTATTTTTCAAGTCATTCATAAAGTAGAAGCCCTAAACGTTATCGCTCAAAAAGTTCTAGAGAAAATAAAGCTCAGAATAATGATAATGGTATGTTTTTTCTAAACATGAATTGTGTTTTATAGTTTGGGTTGTATATATATCAAACCGGATTGAACAAAGTTCTAATTTTTTTTCTTTTTTATTATACTACTATATGTATTAACTTTTATTATGGGTTAATTAATATTCTACATTGTTAATTATTTAATCAGTTATACTGTATAACTTTAAATAGATATGAGAAAATTATGTGAAACATTGGTCGAAAAGATAAAAAATCTTAAAGCACAAAAAGTACTGGTTTCCTCACCTACTGAACATGAATCTCTAAACTTACTACATCAAAATAATTCTTCTTGTAGTAGAAGCCATAAATATAGTTTCCAATATAATAAATTGCCCAAAAGTTATGAAAGCCATGAAATTCACTCTTCTTTCCAGCATAATGAATTACCTTCAAGAAGCCATAGTAGAAGTTATGCTTCCAATTCTAATAATAGCTTGAATTATCTAATTCTCCAGAGACACTTACTTTGCTAAAACTATCTGTTTCACCAGAGCCCACTAATGGGTATAAAAGTGTATTATATATTGTTCTTGAACCAATAAATGATAAACAATACAAACTTTTTCATATATATATATTATTATTTTTTAACTCTATTTTATTTTATTGTTTACTATTTTATATTTTTAGGATAAAGTTCTCCAAATACTTGCTGGTCTTGATTCTTCTTTATCTCTCGATTATAACAAGAATTAGACCGATATCAGTTACTGTGTATATAAAAAAATTATACCTGCGATTAGTAAAGCTTTGAAAGAAAGATTTTATTACACTGATATAGAATAAAGACAAGTTCTACAAAATTATTATCGACATTAACATGAACAATTAGCAATTAGCTAGGATCTGAAAAAATCAAAATTGAAAAAAAGAGAAAAGGCACAAATTCAAGAAAAAAGGAAGTAAGCATTACTACCCTTATAGTAAATATTATATTTAATACAAGTTTATTTTGTTGTTTATATATTATTATTATTAGAAAAAAAATAGAAGATATTGGGGATTAAATCACGTAATTAACACGAAAGACAAATTTCTTCAAAAAATAAAACCACAATATATTCAATATGAAGACTTTATTAATGATCTTGAAGAAATTGTTAATAATGAGAGCTATCATTTGGATGAAGTCTCAGAGACTGATTAGAAATTGGTGCATGATAAAGTTGCAAGTGACAAGTGACCATTGAGTAAAGTGAAAGATGAGAATAATCATGTTTACTATAGGAAAGATCAACAATTGTTTTGATTAAAGTTTATTTTAATAATGAATATACAAATTACTTTATTATTAATAAATCCAGAAGATTTTACATCATATAAACAAAGTTGGTGAAAATATTGCACATGTAAAAAAAGTAAGAAAACATTGGTATGATTTTAAGAAATGGTCAGACTCTTCGAAACCTCCTGACGATGCTCTAGAATAGACAATTTCTACTAATTTTTATCTAATTCATTCAGATGATAAGCATCAGAATGATACAGGTAAATTAATGATTAAAAATACAAAAGCAAATAACATTATTTATACTTTTGTAAATCGCAACAATTGTAATAATTTTCCTACCAGCGATAATAATAATCATAATCAATTAAAAACTTTCACTAGTAAGATTAATAATTTTGTTAGTAAATTGATATTGGTTTGTAACTAATAAAATTGCTACTATTTTTATAGACAAAAGTATTACTAATGATAACCAACCTAATACTTCTACTGGCAATCAAGATCTCCCATTGGTATTTGATTAAACTTCTCTAGAAACATTCAGAAAAGACTCTTGCAGCTGATAATTACAATTTGAATAATGAAGATTCTGAAAATGAATAAAATAAATAAATAAATAAATAATAGATTTGTCAATATAAAAAGGCAGATAGTTTCAAGTATATTAGAATGTATAACTAATTGTGTGTAATTTAAATTCTAAATAAAAAAATTAAAGTTATTAATTTTATAAAAGTAATTATCTATCAATATTAATGATATTAATAATAGATTTTAATAAGTGCCTAATTGTTCTTTGATAGTTCTTAGCCTTGTTCCTGATAACCAACTGCAAGTTATATAATATGAAATGAAAGAGAATATAATTGGGCTATCAAGCATCCGATAAGGCAATATAACAAAATAATAGAAACCTGATATCAACCTGATATCAACCCGGTATAACTGACTAATCAGATAAAATCAAAGAGTAATCAGGTTATCTGATAGCCCCCAATTAATCTATTAATAATTTTGACTGTTTATTCTCGATGTTTGTCTGTAAATGACACGATTTGAGACATTAATCAGAGAATTATCAGGTACTTGAATCGGAAAGATATCAGGAAATTATCATAGTCTTATCATAGCTTCCAATAGGGCTTTGTTTAACCAGTGTCTAGTTTGTTATATAATTTCTCTACTTGGTCTCTATATGTATATTTTTTTCTGCAATATATTTTTGATTAGTTATGTTTTAAAACTTGATCTTATTATAATGAACTAATTATAAAATTGGTTTGCTTTTTGTAGATCTTTTATTGGCTATTCTTTATTTAATCTTACAGTAATGATTACTCTACCTATTACTATCATCTATTACTTCGCTTTTATATCACTATTTATGATTTGCTATAATTTCAATATCATTACTTCATAATAATGTAACATTATTACAAAATATAGAAATGATTAGCATTACATCTAATATGTATTATAATCAACTTTTGCATGTTATGCAAGCTAACTCAACCTAACTCAATGTAACTCAACCTTAATAACATATTGTATCAAGTAAGTTTCTAACAGAATTTTTATGATAACTCGCAATAAAAAAATTATGTCAGTTCTAATACAATTAACCAACCTTAACTATATGTTGTAATTATGAATACAACTAACTAACCTTAACTATATGTTGTAATTATGAAGATAGTGAGTAAGTTCTGTAACAAAATTTTTTTACAGTAGCTTATAATAAAAATCACAATAATTCTAATACAAACCAACTATACATTATAGTTACCAAGATAGCAAGTAAGTTCTGTAATAGAATTTTTTACAGTAGCTTATAATGAAATTCACAATAATTCTGATACAAACTAATACAACTTGGGTTATATTCTTGAATAGTGAGTTTGCAATTGCATTTTTTATGGTAGCTCATAATAGAAATTGTAATAATTCTAATGCAAACTAATTTAACTTTAACCAGACACTGCAGTTATTAAATAATAAGTAAAAGTATGCAACAAAATTTTTTATAGTAACTTATAATAGAAATCAAATAATTCTAAACAAACCAGTAACTAATAAAGAAATTACAATAATTATAATACAAACTTAACCACATTGTTACTAGAATACAAAATTTGTGCCAAAATTTTTTAAAGTAACTCATGATAATTATAATACAAACTAACTAACTCAATCTTATCTGCATAGAAACCACATTCAAATGCAAACCAACTAAACTACATATTGTAATCACTAGAATAGAAAGTAAGTTTTGTATCAAAATTTTTTATAGAAATTCACAATAGAAATTATAACCATATTAATGAGTAATCTAGCAAAATTCTTTATATACTATGTATTACTAGAATAGCAAGTTTTGTAATTAATTTTTTATAGTAATTCATGATTTAAAACACAATAATCTTAATTCAAATTATTTTAACCATATATAATAATTATTGGAATAATAAATAAGTTTTGTAATAGAATTTTTATAGGAATTTATAATAGAAATTACAATAATTTCAGTGCAAACTAACACTCTTAACTACATTGAAATTACAATAATTTTAGTGTAAACCAACTCAACGTTAATCACAAACTATAGCCCAGAGTAGCAAGTAAGTTTTGTAGCAAACCTTTTATAGTAATCCATGATAGAAATTACAACAGTTTTAATACAAACTAACTTAATCTTAATAATGTACTGTGGCCACCAGAATAGTGAGTCCTGTAACAAATTTTTTAGCAACCTATAATAGAAATCAAATACAAACTGACTCAATCTTAACAATAAAGAAAGCACAATAACTCTAATGCAAATAAACTTAACCATGTGCTGTAATTACTGAAGTATTGATTTTTTGAAGCAGAATATTTACAATAAGTAATTTATGATAATAATAACACTGACTAACTTGACTTTAACCACATATTGAAGTTATTGAAATAACAAATAAGTTATGTGGCAGAATTTTTTAGTGATTTATGATAGAAATTATAATAATTTCGATAAAGACTAACATTCAAGTATATACTGTATTGTATTGGTATGTCATATAGCAGAAGTTTTTATAGTAATTCACAATAATTCCAATATCAATATACTATGTGTCATTCAAATGGCAAGAAATAAGTTTTGTAACAGAATTTTTATGATAACTTATAATGGAAATTACAATAATTTTAGTGCAAGCTAATTTATTTCTGACTATATAGAAATTTTAATAATTTTAGTACAAACAAACTCAACTTTAATCACATACTGAGGCAATGGAATAGCAAGTAAATATTGTATCAAACCTTTAATTCACAAAGAAATTATGAGAGTTCCAATGCAAACCAAGCCTTAATATCTACTGTGGTCTCCATAATAGTGGGTAAGCCCTATAACAATTTTTCAGCAACTTAAAATAAAAATCACAATAATTTCAATGCAAACTGACTTGATTTTATAACAATATAGAAAGTGTAATCAACTACATGCTGTAATCACTGAAGTAGCAAGTTCTGAAGCAAAATATTTACAATAACTCATAGAAATAATTACTGTAAGTTATAGATAGAGTTTTTTTATGGTAGCTCATAGTAGAAGTCATGATAATCTCAATGAAGACTGACACTTAAGTACTGTATTGTATTAGTAGGTCATATAGCGAAAATTCTGATACAGATGAACACAATCACATGGTGTGATTACTAGAATAGCAAGCTCTGACCTGCATGAGTTTTGGCATTAAAACCTAACATGTAATCGTGTGTAATATCATGTCTTGCATGCCTAAATAAAAAAATCTTTTCCATGTGCCAAAGGCACAAGTTAAATGCTAAAAGGACCCCTGAATACTAGTATGTTATATATATAAACCTTCGTCTTCAAACCATATATAAGTGTACAAATAAATTTTATTATTGAAGTGTACAATTGCCTAAACTATATATTTAAATGTATGACAGAAGTTTAATATAAGTTTTCTATACTTTAATAAGTGTACAGATAAAGGTAAACCTAATATTAAACTAATGTACTGTACAACAAAAATTTAAATTTTTAATTTTAAATTGTAGAAACAGAAGTTAAGTGATGGCTAGAAGCAGGCCTATATTCTTGTGATTACAACAAGGCTAGTAAGTGAAAAAGATTAGTATTTTCTCTTGACCAAGCTAAAAAATGATGAAAAATATGCTTAAAAAAAGACAAATATAAGTTACTTAAACGGTTAGAGAAGCAAGGTTGTTAACTAACTGATTCCAATCTAGAATCAGTAATCGAAAAAGTTTCTTGACGAGATATTCATCCTGAATTTAATTACAAGTGAAGAAATTTACTATTAAATTTTGCTTTTTTTGAAATCTGGAGTTTCTCAAAGAAAAACATTTTTCTTTACTAAGTTAACATCTTTTCAAGCTTTAAGAAAATTGTAGAGAAGTTTCTTGCAATCAAAATAGTGGGGGTAGCTTATTTTAGGTGGTAGCTTATTTTGGGGAAAATATGGTATACTAAAATATTAAAAAGAAAAAAAATAACATGGTATTGTTGAATACCAATATAAGTATTATTAGAATATTTCAATCTAACTTTAATAAACAGGTTGGTGATGTTCTATTAGAAACAATCAAGGTAAATAAAGAAGCAATTGATGTGCTCATTGACTCCAGCTCCTATCTGAATCTAATTATACTAATAGAAGAGATCTGTTTGGAAATCTGCCAAGGAAAAAGAAAGAATAGCAGATAATCAAATTATATATTTTTAGACATATAACAAACTTAAAGGTAGATATAGATGAAGCAACAGTTAATTAAAACTTTCATGTAATAGAGACTGTGAGCTTCAACATTTTGCTTAGAATGCTTTGAATTGCAGCTGCTAAATATAACTTGAAATAGAAAACAATTAATTCTGGTATTTAGTTGTATCAGAATTGAAAAAAGTGTTTTTTATAGCATTTGTTGTATTAGAAAGTTAGATGACTGATGTATACAATATAGAGAATTATGATGAAGAGATGGATGAAGTAGAAAATGAAGTAATGTTAATACAAATAATACAACTAAACATCAATGAGACTGAAAAATTAAGGAACCAATACGTGAATTGGTAAAGGGTACAAATAATGCAAGTTCTGTTAAAATTAAAGAAATTGAACCAATAGATAAAAAAGAGCTGCCAAAGAATTATTATAAGCAAGTGGTGTATTGAAACAACCTATGCAAATATGATAATGAAATTGTTGAAGAACAAATATCTGAAGTAATTATATAATTAACAAAAGAGAAAATAAATATTTTAGATATTAATAATAAAATTCTATCTTATGAATGAATATATTTAAAAAACTGTTGATGTTTGAATTGTTTGAATTATCCGAAAAAATGAAAACAAATTTAATAATATATGAAATTAGAATAAAAGAAAAAGTAATACCAGCTATTAGAATAAGGCCAATCAATATTAATAACCCTAAACTAGTTTGATTATTCAAGCAACAATTGTGCAAAATGTTAAAAAATAAGTTACTTGAGAAAGAAATAGAGCAGTACATTTATTATTGCTTTTTTGTAAACAAAAAAAATGTAAAACTGGCTAGTTGTATGTAGTGAGAGATATACATTCTTTGAATAGATATATAATAAAAAATAGATATTCATTTCCTTTAATCTAAGATATTTTAGAAAAAACACAACTGGTATTTCTCAGTAGATGCTTATAAGAGATACTAGCAAGTTCAAATAAGGAAAAGTAATAGGGACAAAGTAGTGGTATTAACACTATTGGGCATCTTGTATTATATAGTCATGTGTATGGGGCTAAAGAATATTAGCAAAACATTCTAATATTTAATAGATATAATTTTAGAGGAAGATAAATGGAGAGATATAGCCATATCATATCAAGATGACATAGGTCTCTGGATGAATAGAGAGATAAAAAATTATATAGATAAATTTGTAGAATTGGCATTGAAGTTTAAACAAGCAGTCTTACCTTTTTGGTAAAGTAATATTATTTACTGTACTGAAATTAAATATTTACAGTTTTGTAGTTGAAAAAAGAGGAATAAAAGTTAAGTATTCCTAATTGAACAATGGAAGAGACCTATGAGTATAAAAAATATTAGGTCATTTTTAGAAGTAATAAATTATTATTGATATTTTGTTAACAATTTTAGCAAAATAGCTAAACCTCTTACCAAGCTCATAAAGAAAAGTGTAGGATATCATTGAACTGTTTAAAAAGAAAGCTCATTCTAAACATTAAAGTATGAATTAATGAACACTGTAAATTAAAAACACCAAAGTAGAAATGAAGCTAAAATAGTATAAGACCTTATCATATACATATAGATGTGGCATTAGGTGTGTTCTAGAATAAGCTGATAATGATGGAAGGTTCTGTCTCATTATATTTGAATCTCAAAATCAAATACCTATAAACTCAATTATATGGTTACTGAAAAAGAGTGTCTGGACATTAGTTTATAGATGCAATGTTTGTGAATATTATGTAGATAGAACAGCCTTTAACATCTGGATTAATTATCAAATATTAGTGTGGTTTTTTCATAAAGCTAATTTTAAGGGATGATTAATGCATTGAATAGTTGCATTACAGGCTTATGATTTTTAGATAAAATATAAGCCTGAAAAGAAATATACAACTGCAAATAGAATTTCAAGATGATTGAACTCTCCAGCACAACAAGGACAAACTGATGAGGAGTGTATTAAACATTTATTAATAAGTGTTGATATTGAAAAAACAAAAATGCAAAATTTAAAATTTATTATATATTACTTAACTTATTTCTTATAGGCAGAAAATTCACCAAATCATTAAGACAACTAAAAATTAAGATAAAGAAATATTGTTTAATAGCAGATCAATTATTTTGAAAAGCAGATAAAAACAAACCACTCAAAGAAGTAATTTTTAATAAAGTGAAAAGATTGAATTATAAAAGCTAATTTATTAGAGACTAGGCAGTGAAGGTAGATACAGAATAATCAATGTCACAGTACAAAAAATCTTAATGCTCTATAAATAGGCAAGTGATAGTCTATACAAAGATATAAAAACTTATGTATTAACATGTATGATTTGTCAAAAATGTGAAGGAAAAATTTCTAAAGAACCTATTTTCATACTATCCACTATATAGATATTTTATAAGTTATATCTCAATTGCATAGGGCCTTTACTTAAAACAAGTGGTGAACATGAATATATAGTTATATGAGTTGAAAATTTAACAGAATACATTGAGGCTTAAGCAATTAGAAAAAAAAAATACAAATTGTCCAATTCCTATGGGAAGAAGTGGTAATATAACATGGATGTTTTGCAGAATTAATCTCTAACCGAGATACAAAATTCAAGAATGTGTTGATCAATAAACTTACTACATGCTTGGGAGTCAAACAGTGTTTTAGTGCAAGTTATCACCCCAAAGCCAATAGAAAAGCAGAAAGGGCTGTACAGAAAATCACCTACATGTTAAGAAAAATTTGCACTGAACAGCAAAATCATTGGCATGAATATCAGTTTGGGCCTTGAACATTATAGTAAATAATTTAGATTACTTGCCCTTCCATTTAGTTTACAGCAGAGATGCTATTGCCCCAATCGAACTAACTCTTGAAAGTTAGCAAGTATTCATGATGAAGAACGAGTAGAGTACTGAAGAATTATTAGAATTCAGAATGTTACAAATAAAAGACTTAGTTCACAAATTGAAACAAGCACACCAAAGTCATGAAAAAATTTGAGAGAAATGGAAAGAAAGAGTTTCATGACAAACATGCCAATCAACATAAAGAAATAATCAATGTAGAAGACTTAGTGTTGATATATGATTCAACCCTGAAAGCGACTTATTCCAGAAAGCTGGAGTATTGTTAGATGGGACCCTATTGAGTTAGATCTATCAGAAAGCATGGCCAGTATTATTTAAACGAACTGGATGGAGCAGAGATGAAAGAACCTCTTATCTGAAATAGGGTCAAAGCTTGCGAAGAATGGAACAAAGTGTTAAAGAAGATTACAATCTTGAGGATGAAGATTCATGGGAATCTAGCTCCTGTGATGGAGAAGCGGAACACTTGGTACACTTTGTACAAGAAATAGAGTTAGAAGGAGCTGAAGTATATTAAGCAGAATCGTAAAAATAGAAAGAATAACATAAAAAAGAAAAAAAAAGGTGTCTCTTTCGAAAACTTTAGCGTAAGAAAGATTAGATCGATCGAATTATCACGTGGTCCACGTGATCACGTGATGTTCAATCAGGTTCGAATGGTAATAGAAAGTCCGAGATTGATTAATATATGACATGCATATTGATTACAAGAATCAGTCATATCATAATAGTGTGCATGATAAATGTCGTAATAAATTAGAAGTAGAAAAGTGGATTAGTAATCAATTTAAAAAGTCAAATACATGTGGACAAAATATGATATAATGAAAAAGAAAAATGCATGTATAAAATCGAAAGAAAAAAATAAAGAATAAATTAGTACTTTGCCACGTAAAGCATTGTCCCAATCGAAGTAATAAAATATAAACCTAATCGGTGCCCTTGTGAGGCCCATAAGCATACCGTGTTGCTCTACGATCAAGGTAGATCTTAGTAGCTTCGACTACTATTAACACCCTTGTCAGTGGTTAATAAATGAATGTATGTATTTTATAGTTTATAGACCTAGGTACTTTATTATTAGGCAAAATTGGGTGTTATTCTTCCCGAAGGGCCAACAGGGCCTTTATTTATAATTATGAATTCATCTATTTACATTTGTAGAATCGGTTAGATCCTTACAATCAGTTTTATAGCTAATATCAGTAATATCTATTAAAGAATTGTTCTGATCGTACAGATCCTTCAGATCGGGGTTATCGGTGGTATCGAACCGATCGGTGATATCGGTAATATCGGTAATATCGGTGAAATCGGGCCGGGAAACCTAAATTAGGAAATACCCGAAATCATGAAGGCACGTGCCTGCTTCAGGTCACGTTTCCGGTTTCACAACGGTATCGCATTATTATTATTATTATTATTACACTACAAAGGTACTATAGTATTATGACATTACGTCATTACGGCATTACGGCATTACGATATTGCGGCAATACAATATTGCGGCATTACAGTGCATAATATTTTGGCAATCAGGTTCTGTGCCGTAATTAATTCTACCATAGGTTAGAATGCCGTAATGCCGTAATTCTGTAATTATACTGCCAACACTAGCAGTGAGATTGTCATAATATTGCCAACTATCTAGCTATTTATTAAAAATTGGGCGAAGCCACCACATGCTCATGTGCTAGTTAATTATATTAATAAACTGCGCGCAGATACCAGATACGAATCTATCAGTGAATTATGTAAAGCGTTTAAATTTTATTTCAGAAATTGGAATTACTAATTGGCTCACATTAGTTCTTACATAAGATTATGTAAGGTGATCTTCTTTGCATTTCCTAGAATTGTACGTACGTACGTAAGTACGTATGTACGTGGCTGGGTGAAATGTGGTACGTACCTGCAAAGTTTACGCACGATAAAAAATGATATGTTAACCACACATTGAAAAATATTTTAAATTACAATAATTAACATATATAGTGATGTGATCTTCTGAATTATTAATAATCAATAATGATTATTAATATATTGTGCAGCTAATTAGTAAAGGATGTATAAAAACGAAAAGTTGCGTCAATATTTTCTCAAAAATTGCCGAGATATTGGCGCACTAAACTTTTATTAAATCCGTTAGTAGTTTATTTCGATATATCGATATTATCAGCGATGATCGATAATATTAATAACGTATTATTTATCAACTAAGAACTCAGAGGTCCCATCACTACGCATATATGCAAGTTTGTTTTTTTTTTACTAAAACGAGTTTCAATATGTTAATCTTTACTAATTGTTTTAGATGGCGTGTTGACTCAATTCTCTTTTACTGTATAGCTTTTTCGTCATTCATTTTATTTCAGACTAAATGTCATTACCCTCGACAAGTACCGCTGATGCCAAAAATGAACAAGCAAATATGGTCTATAATTTTGACTGGTCATCAACTTCACTTGGCCCTATAGACTTATGGGAACCTGCTATCAAAACTGCTATGGTACTTTAAACTCATATACAGTTAATTATATAACGAACTAGCAAAAATTTAAAATTTTTGGTTTGCTACATTCGAAAATTCGTTATATAGAGATTCTTTACAAAGAAAATCAACTGCATATATATTTTGTGTTTATTTAAAAAAGTATAATATATAAAATCACGTTTGTTAATGTAGTATATGTGCCTCAATTCTGCGATTCCCATCTGTCTCTTTCTCAATCCCCCAGAATGGATCTTTCTGTACAATGATGGTAATCTATTTCAGAATTTACTTTTTTACTATATAGTTATTCAATTTGCTTTAATAACTAATCTATATGCTTACAGCGTTTTCAGGACTTTTGCAACAGGCTCATCCATATGGTTAATAAAAATTAGTTTCATTTATTTTTAATCAACTCCACCTAAATAACACCCTTATTAAAATTAATAGCATTAGGAAAACCAATGAGAGATGTTTGGCCCAAACCATTATGTGATACCGTTATTGCACAATTAGAAGAGTGAGTTAAGTAATCACTTAAATAAATTTTTATTCGTGATGTCTAAATTTCTCGCAATATATTTAGAGTAAGAAAGGCTGGAAAAGGAACGTTTAAAAAAGATGAATTTTATGAATCAGAGCGCGTTGGATATATCGAAGAGGGCTATTTTGATTATACATTTAGTCCAATTTTCAAATCAGATGGTACAGTCTGTGCTATATTTGATATTGCACAAGAAACTACTCAAAGTGTTTTAAATACTAGGAGATTAAAGATACTGAACGAATTGGGAAAGCGGATTCCTGGTTGGTATTCATAGTTATTCTGTTTAATTATTAGGTTAAAATATTTTCTGCTAACACATTTATATCGTCATATTATTTCTTAAAGAAATTGTATCTTTAGAAAATGCCTGTCATATTATGACAAATGTATTAAGCAATAGTATAGATATTTCTTATGCATTAATTTACATTGTCGAACACAAATCAAATACTAGTTTGGAATCGTTGATCGCCCGTCTAATCTCCACGACCTTCGATAAAGATGGTAAAGATGGAAGGCATATTCCTGATTATTTACCAGAAGCACCTGAATTAATTTATTTAGCCGAAGATGCTAGTAAGGACTACGACACATACATAGAATTGAAACGGGATTATGGGACTTTTTCATTTTTAAAATGTGAATCTTGGCCAATACACCTTGTAATTAAAGAACAAAGGCATGTAAAAGTTCTTTTAAAAGATGAATCTCGAGCTGTATTATTACCGACAAAGATTTCAATTTGTGAAGAGCATTCTTTATCAGCTGTGTTAATTTGTGGTGTTAATCGATCTAGCATACTCGATAAGAAATATATGGATTTTTTGCAAGTATGAAAATGTTTGCACAATTAATGTTCATTCATTTTTATATAATACTCAAACGCGCAATACTTGTTAGCTAGTCACAAGTCAAATGAATACATATTTATTACATGGGCAATCAATAGAAGAGGAAAAGAAACAATCTAAAATATTGGCTGATTTAAATTATCAAAAAATGATATTTTTTCAAGGCATTAGTCATGAACTAAAAAGTATTAATTATTATTAATTTCCTTTTAGAAAATTTATTGCATAAATGGACTTATTATTATTTTTATTAAATTATTATTATTAAATCATCATTATTATTATTATTATAGCACCATTAACCTTAATGCTCTCACCTCTTGACGACGCAATTAATGCTTGTCCACAAGAAGCTCCAATAATGTCGTATCTTCAAACTATACGACGTAACGGTCGTCGATTACTCAAACTTATTAACGTTTTATTACAAGTAAGTTATAACATTCTTAAATATTAATAACAACAATTACTTAAACCTAATTTTTGGATCTATTATATTTACTTCATTTCTTGCAAAGTTTTCAAATATAGAAACAAATCAATTAGAAGCATGCTATCGTGAAACCAACATAGCTGAATTTACTCGAGAATTAGCTTCAGATTTCAAAAATATGGCTAAAACATTAGGCTTGGATTATAATATCAATATTCCACATCATGATGAATTAACTCAAGCAGTGGGAGATAAAATCTACTTAGATCGTGATATGTATGAAACAATTGTTTTTAATCTTTGTAAGCGTCTTATAAGCATAACGAATATAAAAGTACATTGGTTTTCTACAAAACTACATTATTAAAACATGCATACTAAGGAATTTTGTTTGTTTAAGGTTCGAACGCATTAAAGCATACATGGAATGGAACCATAACAATTAGTCTATATTCTGACTATAAAGATAATAAAAAAATGGTAGTTCTTGAAGTTTCAGATACAGGTTAATATTTTTTTGCTAAATTTATTGCTCTATAAAACTATTTATATCTCAAAACTGGATTACTACAACATATCCGGATTGTTTTTTTTAAAATCCAGGTATTGGTATTCCGGAGACTGCCCTTCCAAATATATTCCAGCGGTTTTATCGTGTAGTATCTCAAGGTTCACGTAGCCACGAAGGTACTGGAATAGGCCTGGCTCTCGTAAAAGAGTTTATTACGCGCCATAGTGGAGATATTACTGTGACTTCAAGAGTAAATCATGGAACGACGTTTAAATGTTGGTTCCCAATAGGATGTAAACACTTATCAACAAATCAAATACACTTTAACAACGTTGAAAACCAAATAAACCATGGTCGAGAATTATACACTAATCGACAACTTTACTTAGAAGAAAGTTCTCAATGGATAAAAAATAATATATCAAAAGCTCAATATGATATAACGGATCAAGAGTCAACCAATGAAAAAAATATAAACAATAAAACAAAATTAACTGCAGATAATTGTAAAAAATATCAAATTTTAATTGTTGATGATAATATTAATATGCGGTAATATTTTATTTATTAATCATATTGGGAAATTTTTAAATTTGTTTCTTATTATTAGCGACGTTTTATAGAGATTATTTGGTGGATCTGTTAAAAGAATATGATATATACTGTGCTTGCGACGGCCAAGACGCTATTCAAGTCTTAAAGAGGCTTAATAAACTACCTGATTTAATACTTAGTGGCAAGTAAATTATAATCGTAGCGTCTATTTACTATACATAAACGAATATTAAACCATACTCAATTTAATAGATGTCATGATGCCAAATATGACTGGGCATGAGTTATTAGATGTGTTAAGATCTGATGTAAAAACTCAATTGGTTCCAGTAATATTATTATCTGCACAAGCCGAAGATTCTAAAATTCAAGGTAATATATTATGAAATTATTAGTAAGTTAAGTGTATTTATTTTATTCATCCTTTTTTTTTTGATGTATTTCTAGGTTTGAACAAAGGAGCAGATGACTATTTATTAAAACCATTTTCTTCTCGGGAATTAATTACCCGCATTTGCACTAATATTAAGCTCTCACATTTTCGTCATAAAATATTATTTCAACAATATAAACAAGAAGAAACAAAACAATTATTGCTTTCAATATCAGACAAGATCCTTTCCAAAGTAAACCTAGATGAAACGCTATATTATGTTGTTAAAGAAATCCATTATAGATTGCCATGTGAAAGAACGTTTATAATTAAAAGTAATAAAATAGTTACATTATATGAAGGTTCTGAAAGTATAACACCGATAACCAACCCATTCATGGAATATAGTAAAAGTGAAAATGATTCTCAAACATTTAACAAGTTGCAAGATTTAAATAATAATTTGGGAACAGATATTTATTTGGATAAATATTGTGATCATGTTAATAAAAATGTATCTGAATTATCTGTAGAATTAAGATTAAAAGATAATTATTCGGGATGGATAAAAGTTCATAGATCTCCGAATTCTATTTGGCTCGATTCTGAAGTAGAGTTATTACAACAAACATCTAATCAAATAAGTTTAGCTATTACTTATTC